GTTGGGTTTGTGCTGTCTGTAGATGGTTTCTCAGCCACCACAGCAGCGGTGTGGGGTTGTGTCAGTTAAAACCAGTTCCAATCATCTTTTCCCTCCTCCTTTTCTCTTTCAGCTCCAGCTGCAGAAAACCCAGTACTTGCAACTGGGGCAGAGTCGTGGCCAGTACTACGGTGGGTCTCTGCCAAATGTGAACCAGATTGGAAACAGTGCCATGGATCTCCCCTTCCAGGTGAGCCCCAAGGGTGTTCCTCTGCATTTGGGGGCTGGTTTGTCCATCCCAGGAGCCCCTGAGGCACCTGCTGGTTCAGCACCCTCAGCACAGCCCCCTGGTTTGAGAACTCCCCTTGGAATGGAACTGTGTGGATGTTCCAGGTGTTAGTCCTGCCCCTGCTTGGGATGCTTTGGGGTTGGGAATACCCAGAGTGACGCAATTCCTCTGTCAGGGAACATTCAGGGGGGTGGTTTTGTTCAGTACCAAATCCCTGCTGAAATCTGGGAAGAAGCTGTAAATTCAAAGCAGGATGGAAGCCAATCCAGGTGATGTGGAACCAGCTGGGAGATGGGGTGTGGAGGGAGCTGCTGCTGGTTGTGTGTGTGTGTGTGTGTGTGTTCTGTGGGGGTGACCCTGGGGAATGGGACACAGAGTGGTACCAGAACTGTCACTTTTTTTGGGGGCTGGCTGAGGAGGAGACTTAGGGGTGCCCTGGCTGTCTTTGTGACTCCAGAGGGGACACACCACAAACAGAAAATCAGCCTTCTGGGTGAATGTTTTGCTGTTGGAAGCATGTCTGGACAGGAGATGTTGTGCATGGATCAGGTGGTGGATCCTTTGAGGCCTCTGATTTCTGTAACCGGTTGATTTGGGGTGCTCAAAAAAAAAAAAAAAAAATTAACATTTCTGCATTAGTTTTCCTCTTCTGAGCAGCATCAGTTAACATTTCTGTCACGAGGAAGTGGTGAGAAGGAAATCTTGCAGTTTGTGGTTTGCTGATGAAGGGCTGGTTAATAAGCATGGAGAAACTCTTGCTGACCTGCCTGTTGAAATAGGTGGAGGAAACAGCTGAATTCGGGCAGGTTGAAAACTTGAACCTTGTGCAGGGGGAGAAGCAAAAGCCTCTTTTAATCTGGTTGCCCTGGGGGAATACAGTGCAGGGGTTTGGAGTGGGTTGATGTCCTTGGTGTTACTCCACAGCATCTCTCTCCCAAGATTTTCCCTTCAGCTCCTTGTTAAGGAGGTTCAGAGTTCCTGTTCCCTTTAAGCAACAGTATTTCAGCATTTCTGTGCTTTCCTGGTGGTTACTGCACAGACTGTTCCACTCCCCAGCTAACAAAGGGAATATCCCAAAACTCCGAAGTTTTACAGGTTTGGTTTTTTTTTTTTCCCACACACCCCCATAGGAAAAAAAAAAAAAACACCAAAAATGGATGTTGTCACAGCTAACAAAGGTGAGAAGCAGCAACACAAACCCGTGTGTCTGTATGAGTGGCGAGTGCTTCCCGGGCTTTTCCCGATTTCCAGCTAAAATCCTGGAATTTTTTTTAAGTTGAAACCCACCGAGGATCCCGAGGCGAAGCCCTGAGGGGTTTGTTGTGTCTGCTGGGAGCGTTGGTGTCTGAGCATCTCGGTTCTTTGATTTTACAGCACAACGGAGCTCTGGCTGAAGCCTTTGGAGCAGTTCCTGTCTCTTTGGTAAACAAGCATTTAGGTTTGTGCAAATACGTATTTAGGACTGGTCCTGTTTGCCCAGGTAGATACGTATTTCAGCACAGCCCCACTGCTCTGCTATGCACAGTGTCCCTCTCTCTCTCTCTGATCAGGAGCCCTGCTCTGGCACACAAATCCAGGTGGTTTTGGTTTTGGTTTTGGTTTTTTTTTTGGCCGTGCATCCCGGTTCGGAACGTGCATCAGAATTCCCGTCCAGGCTCCCTGGCCTTGCTGTCTTGTGATGATGATTCCTGGTGATTCCTGGGGGATGCACTTGATGCAGACAGCCTTGGCCTGTGGGGTTGAGCGAGCTCTGAGCATGTGCATGTGGGGAATGAGTTCCCAAATCCTGCTTGGCACCAGGAGGCTCTGGAATCTCAGCTGTCGTAGGTCCCTCTCCTCCTTCCCCCCTCGTCCACCTCGCTTGGGTTCATTCCTGAAGCCTTTGATCCATCTCAGAAGGACACTGGTGGAGAGCTCGGAGCTTTTTCCTTCCTGTCTGTATTTAGCTGCTTTTTTGGTGGTTTGTGGGCTTTGGGGTCTGGTCTCGAACCCTTTAATGTTTCTCAGGGAAGTGAAACACTTTTGTTTCTTCATTTTCCCATTAAAATCAATGCCCAGTCTGTTTTTGTTTTTTGTGTTTTTTTTTTTTTTTTTTTAATCCACTTTTTTAATTACAGTTAAATATCTCTTGCCCCGCTGGGGTGGGGATTTTAATCCAGGTGTTTGTCCTGGTGTTTGGCCCAGAGGAAGGTTTGGTTGGAGGTGCCATCCAGAAGTGTTTTCTGTTTCCCTGAGTCAGGGATTCACTTGGGATCTTTGCTCCTGGAAAGCCAGAGAACAAACACCATTGCCCCCAGATGCCTCACCCTATAAACTGTAAGCTGGAACGTGCTCCATGTTTGTTTATTCCACTGCTGCACTCAAATGAGACTTTTGTGGGGTTTTTAATAAGGAAGTTGTGCCAAAAAAAAAAAAAAAAAAAGGCAGGACACCAGAAATAACTATTTTTACGTTCAGCTCTTTGTCTCCCGTGCACTGGCTTCCCTTTAAATTCCAGGTGAGCTCCTGCATTCCCTGGGCTTTGGGCTGCCTGCTCCTTTTTTAGCAGCACTAAGAGAGACCACTGACAAGGAAATTGCTTTTCCTGTTGACCTTCCAAGCACAGCTTGGCAAATTCTGCTGCCTTTGGGGCTCGAAGGGCTGTGGCAGCAGTGCAGGGAGGAGTTGGAGACCTTTTGTTGGGTTGGAATTATAAATACTCCCAGCTCTGTGTGGGGACAGAACCAGGTTGTCGTGCAGGGATTAAACCACCAGGTTTTATTTCAAATGGCTTAAAACTGAGGTTCTGTTTTGAGGTTTCTCAGCCCTCGGGCGAGAAAGCGAAGCAAAAAGTCCGATCCTGAGGGCTGGGAGTGCGTTAAAAAGTCACTGTGCTCCTTTCCAGCCCCGTGTTGACTTAAATATTCTGCTGCACAGAAAGTGTTGGGCCTTTGAAATGAAAAAATAAACACCACAACCGCTCTGCATCCAAGTTCTGTTAACACAGGCTGTGTGTGCGGAGAGGGTGAGGAGAAAAAAAAGAGTTCACAAGAGTAGAAAGACCCGTTAAAAAGTTATTACAAACAAAGCTTTTAAAAATAAATGTAAAGCTTTTTTTTTTTTTTTTTTGGGGGGGGGGAAGAATAATTTCAACAGCCAAAGCTGACGCTTGGGAAGAAAGGAAAAAAAAAAACCCCAAAAAGAGATGAATGTGGGAGCCAGATGGTTTCACTGGGCTTGGCAGGCAGGACAGGACAGTGCATTTGCCACGTGCAGCACCTGAATGGAGGAGGAAATTTTGGGTTTCCAAACAGATGGTGTTGAGGGACTCAGCAAAGCTGTTCACATTGGCAAGGAGTGGGAAACTGGGGAGGGTTTGTTGTTTTTTTTTCCAACCCCCAGAGACCCATAAATTGCTGGTGGAGGACGAGTGGGGATCGACCCTTTGGTACTTCCTTTGTCCTTCCCCCCAGGTACACACAAGGAAAGGCTTTGGAAAACGTGGGAGTTTTCCAGCTTAGCCTGGGAATTCGTCTTCCCCTGTCCTTTCTCTGCCATCCTCATCCTCTGCAATCCTCTGCTGACAGGTCTGCGCTGAGGATCTCGGCGCTGATAAGAGCCCAGGTGGGACCGTCCCACCTCGGGTCACCTCCCAAACACCAGAGGCCGTAACTTTTTCTAGACAGAGGAGGAAGGAAACTGCTTTTCTTTTTTTTTTTTTTCTTTTCATTCTCTCAGTGTCCCCCTCTAAATGATTCCCAGAGGGAAGGGGTGAAGGGAAGCCCCGAGAGCAGGGGCGGCGCGTTGGGAACGTCGGACTCACCGCGCATCTCCTGCCCGCGGAGTCGGGGCTCTGGTTGTCGGCATGTTCCTTCTGGATGCATCCTGCATGCTGCACCCAGGGCATGTGGACACGGCTGGCAGCTCCCTGCCACCCTCACACCTGGGGTTTTAGGGATAGGGAGGTGTGAGAGCTGACCTAGGAGAGGGCAGGTCCGGCATGGCCCCCCCTCCAGAGGGGCAGCCTTGGGGTCGCTTCTCAAGGCTGCCCTGAAAACCGTGGAGGGGAACAGTGATTACACTCGTCCACACCTGGTGTGAGTGGGATTCCTTAGAGCATCACAGCCTTGCACACACCCCCAGTAGGTTCTGGGCAGACCACGTGTGTGGGTTTTCCCATGCCTGACTTGCTGTGTCTCCCCCAGACTCCGTTCCAGTCGTCGGGGTTGGACACGAGCAGGACGACCCGGCACCACGGGCTGGTGGACAGAGTGTACCGGGACAGGAACCGCCTGGGCTCGCCCCACCGCCGGCCCCTCTCCGTGGATAAACATGGAAGACAGATATCCTTTGGTGTAGGACCCCCAGTGCTGTCACTGCTTCCAGTTCCCTCAGTTCCTTCCTTCCTGCCCTCCTCACCTGTTCCCATCCCTGCTCGTGCCACCCCTTCTCCTGAGCTGAGGGCTGGGCTGGAAGGACCTGCAGTGGGTGTTGGCCTTCCCCTGTTTCCTCAGCCAGGAGTGGGGATAATCCTGCACACGGAGCTGAGGGGGGATCAGGGTCCTTTGCTGGTTCGGTGACACCAGCAAGGGCTCCCCTGGGGGCAAATCCTGCCCGCTGCCTCCCACCATGGGGTCACTGACATCATCCCCCTGGGCCTGTGCCAAGCTTTTGGCAGCGTCCCACACCATATCCTTGTGTCTGGACTGGAGAGCCGTGGATGTGATGGATGTGGTGGATGTGATGGATGTGGTGGATGTGATGGATGTGGTGGATGTGATGGATGTGGTGGATGGCCACGCTCCAAGAGCTGCACTCAGTGTGTCCACGTGGGGACCAGCAGTGAGTGGCACCCTCAGGGGTCGCTTTTGGGGCGTCTTAATGTCACTGTTGGTGACGTGGGCAGTGGGATCGAGGCCACCCTCAGCAAGTTCACCAGCTTTGTGGCCCCCAGCATGAGAAGGACACGGATCCTCTGCTTCCAACCCAAACCATTCCGTGATTCTCTGAAAAGCCAGGGCCGTCTGGGGGAAACCGAATTTCCCTTTGGATCCGAGTAAATCCAGCCCGGGCTAATTCCTTGCAGTGGGTTGTGCATTTGATTGCAGGTTGATTCATCCAGTTGGCACTTGCCCAGCGATGTTTCTTCTTGCCATTTGCGAGCCTCGATTAGCCGGTTATTTCTGATGTGCCACCGTCAGGTTGGTGTGATGGGGCTGGAGGGGCTGCGGGAATGGGGGAGCGGGGGGGCTGGTGGCTGCCCAGGGAGCAGTTGGATCTGCAGGAAAGCAGGATGAGTGTCTCTTGCTGCTCAAACGTCACAACAATCCACATAATCCTCTGGTTGAGAGCGTCCCTTTTAAGTCCCCCCAGGGTGTTGCTTGCTTTTCTCCTGCGAGCTCGCTGCCTTCTGATGGGTCAGTTGGAATTATTCTCGGGAAAAGACATTCCAGTTGGCCCTCTGCTTCAGTGAGAGAGTGCTGTTGTTCCCCTTAACTCTGTGCTCACGTGGACAGCTGTCCCTACGGAACGGTGTACCTGTCCCCTCCGTCAGACACCAGCTGGAGAAGGTTGGTAGCACCTCGATCGGGCAATCAAATTATCCTGTATTCCTTCTCAACCCCATCGTTGAAATACTGGCTCTTCAAGCTTAAGCTAACTTGTCCTGCAAATCAGTTGTTTCACAAGGAAATTGCCCCTGAGTATGTGCCATCAATAGATTTTTTGGTTTTTTTTTTAGGACAAATTCCGATTCTGCCTTGCACCAGAGCACCATGACTCCAGCTCAGCAGGAATCCTTCTCTGGAGGGTCCCAGGACATGCAGCAGAAAAGAGGTAAACAGGGAAAAATGCCTACAGGTATTCCTGATGTGATCTGCAGGGGGGTTGTGCTGGTGCTGGTGCTCCCTGGATCCGTGACAGGAGTTGGAGTGAAGAGTCACATTCACCTTTGTGGGTGCTGAAATCTGTGAAAAAATGGTCCAGAACTGAGCAAGGACATCTCTCTGAGCCCCAAGTTGTGTTGTTCTGGCACTTCTCCCCAGGGAGGAGGATCTGGGCTGGTGGGACTGTGGTGGTGAGTGCTCCGAGTGCTGCTGAAGGTTGGGAGCAACTTCTGGAGCAGCACAGAGATCACAGCAGCTCAGCCAGGGGTACAAACACCGGGAAGGAGCAAGAGCTTCGTCTTAGTTCTTAATTTACGGCCTTGAGATTCCCCGGGGATCGTCCCCCCAGAGGCAGCACTTCCAGACAACGCTGATAACATTTCCAGCTCCAGGCTGGAGCAGCCTCTGGAACCGCAGTTCTGGTGCCCTCTGCTGGGCCTTGAGCCTGCTCCAGCTCAGGGAACACGGCAGGACTTGAGCATCCTGGAGGTCTTCTCCAGCCTTAACCATTCCCTGGTTCTGTGGAAAGCTCTATAAATGTGTATGGAAGTTTAATCCTTCACCAGGCACCCAGAGATGGGGTGACACAAACTCGCTGTCCTGCGGCTCCTCCATGTGCCCCAGGAGCTGGAAAACGTGGGGAAATGGTCATGTTTAGCAGCATTCCCTAAATATGGGTTTATAGTCATCCTTGTGAAAGGTTTCTGTGGATTCATCTCTCCCTCTGGGCTTCTCCTGGTGGTTCTCTGTCACCTTGTTTGTTTGAACCGAGAAACGTCCTTGGAACGTGGAGAAGTGGCAGCTTCATGGGGTTTCCTCTCTCCCAGGGGAGATGGATTAGATTTTCCCCCGCTGGAATTGCCCTGTGGGCTTCCCATTTAGGTGGACCAGGTGGAAATCACTCGTGCAGGATGCAAAAGATAGGAAAAACTGTGTCCCAAATGCTCCCTTCCACTTAGGTCTAAATGGAATCCAGTTAGATCTCTGGCCTTAGCAGACTGAGCTGGAGGCCAGAAATCTTTTAAAGCATCATTTGAGGTTGGTTTTTTTTTTAAGCTGATAATGTCTCACTGATTAATTAGGTAATTAAATACAGTTTTAGTCTCTTCTGCTTTCTGGTATCTTTGTTTTTTGTTAACGAGTGTGACCGTTTCAAACTCGCTGATAATTGTGAACTTCACATTTTTCAGATTTCCAGTCTGAAAGTGTCTCCCCGAGAAGGTTCATGTTACTGGTGATTAATTATATGATTGGTTTTTTGTTGTCTTGTTTTAGTTTTGTTGCTGACTGTCCCTGGAATGGAGGAAGGCACCTCAGATGCAGACAAAACCCTCTCCAAGCAAGGCTGGGACACTAAAAAGGTGGGAATTGCACCCTTTAAAGTATAGAAATACTAATTTTCCAAACATATTGAAGTCAATGAATGCTTTAAACATTGTCACAGTAACAAACCACTTGAGGAGATTCGAGATTAAATGTTGTGTTTAGAAACAAATTCTAAAAAATAGACCAGAAAGGCATTTTTAGGTATTCACGTGTGTAGGCACGGGATTGATTTTATCAGGAGAAAATCTTGGAATTTAAGATTCGTTTGGACAATAAAGCAAAAAAAGGGTGATAAATATCTCCTAAGAGCTTCACAAAGCTCTTGTGTAGAGTAGCTGTGCTATAGAAATGTACATAATTAAACTTTTGAGCTGAAATACATCCTGAACACTCATTTCCAGCAGCATCTTTGCCTTTAAAACTCTCTCCCTTCTCTTTCAGACCGGGTCATCCAGACCTAAATCATGTG